ACTGGGCTCTGACTATAGGAGCTTTTCTTGTTACATTGAGTCGGTATTATCTCTGCCATTCTTCTATCTTCAGGTCACAGGGACTTGCAGGAAGTTGAATTCTTTTAGCTCACAGCACTCTGAGCTTTAGGACCCAGCTGTTAAGAGTTCTATCATTCTTTTCCCTTGTTGAAAACTTTTATGAAGACTTTTATGCTCTTCCTCACATGGTATAACTTGCAATTTCATCACTTTCATGTTTTTTTTCCCCTCTGAAAATCCTTCCTTTTGTCATTCTGTCCTCTAAATGTGTTCATTAGAATGAATGTATAGACTTCTTCATGCTCAGAACTTGAGAAATCTAGGGTGGAGTCATATTTTTTTCTAAGTGGATAGTGAACACATTTTTCTTTAATTTTGTAAGTTCCAGTCCCTGTTTCAATATATAAGTCCCTTCATCCTTTCCTTCCTTCCTTCTTTCCTCTTTCCTTCCTTCCTTCTTTTTTCTTCTCTTCCTTACTTCCTTCTCTCCCTCCCTCCTTCCTTTTCTTATTTTCTTTTCTATGCTTATCATATCAAAATAGCATGTTTATAGGCATTTGTTATTCAAAAATTCCCTTCTTTATGTTGTCAAATTTTGTGCACTAATGAATGAAAGTGCCCACCTCGGGCCTTATTTAAATCATAGCATCAAGCACAGGCCACCATACAATTCAAGAATAAATAAATCCCAAATGAAAGCAAGGAAGAAAGGAGCTCTACACCCCATCCCAAAGCAGAAGGGAGTATCCCTTTGTTCTGAGAGTTGAAGTAGAACTGGACAGGCAGTTTGGGGCCAGAGCTGTGCAAGAAGAAAAAGGTCTTATTGAATTATTCTTTTTTAGACAATACAGACAAAGCCAAAATGGGAAGAAATAAGGCATGCCTGAAACTTGGATTTATATATGCACAGAATTAATCAAGAAGAAATTAACAACTCCATCGCCTGTTACTGTTTTTATGGTTCTTCATTGAGTTTTAGTCATCTCTGTCACAGAGAAAAGTCCATAGGCTCCACAGGAAAGGTTGGCCTGACCCAAACTGTAGCAGAAACAGACGGTCATCTGATTTTAATAACAGTGTTTAAACAGAGCCGGGCTGCCATTAGTGACACCATCAACAGCTATTTATGTAGGAAGCATGGCATAGAAGCTTTCAGCCCCAAGGAATTTTTTTTTCTTTCTTTCAATGTTTGTGATTGTCTGTCTACATAGCAATGAAAACATCTGGATGTAAACAAATCTTTCAGTCCATCATCCACATGGCTGGCACACACAATATAGAAAGTCAAATGTTAGGAAGGCAAAATGCAACTAGCTGAGTTCTTTAGAGCTATAAAAGTCACCAGGTCAGAGTACTCATTTAGAGGGTGGCTATATAGACAACTCAGTGGGACAAAGATGACAAGTTGAAGTTCCTCAGGTCTGTTAAGACCCCACTCAGGGCCTCGCTGTTTACAAAGGCACAGCCTGTCACCCCTGCCTCAGCTAAGGCTACCCTTCACTCACTGAAGCATCTCACTGGAGATCACATACTCCATCTGAGGATTCAGAAATACGTAACAGCTTTTCACAATGTCAACCATGCCTCTGCTTATGTACATTTGCTATGACTTTATTTCCCCCTAATTCTTCTGTCTGATAAACTTCTCCTCCTCCCATTCATCTTCCAAGACCGTGTTAAAACATAAACTTTTGAGGGTGCCCTGGAAATCCTCTCTGTGCTGCATGGGGTGCTGGGGTCCACTCTCCTCTTGCAGGTACCATTTGAGATTGTTCCCACACCCACATTATCATGTTTGTCTTATCTCTTCTGCTACAGAACAGAAGGCGAGCTTTTCCCGACTTCGACTTCCTTGCACGGAGAATAGTGAATGACTTGTGATTACTCTTCTATTGTATTTAAATTAGTTCCAATTTAAACTTCTTGGATGAAGTTTTAAAAAAAAAAACCAAAAAAAAAAAAAAAAACCCAAAAAACAAAAAAAAACCTTAACAATTCAGAGTTCTTATCCAGTGTTCACATAGGTAATAGCTAAAGGAATTTATCTCAACCCAATGTTGACTGGATTACATGAATTTATTCCATCAACTCAAAGTCACTGGCCACATAGTTCACATTTTGGGTTTTGATGCAGTTGTATAAGACACATATTTTCCTAGTACTTCTGTTATGACTCAAAAACTACATTTCTATACATGTATAGCTGTGACACCTGGCTTGTGAGGATGCCTAATTCTCTGTAGAACATTTCCAAATCTCTCTAGAATACATTGTACCAAAAGATTGCAGCGACTGTTAAATCCTTAATAACATTCCCAGAAGCTATGCTTGCTAAAGGTATTGAATGTCCCATCCACCAACTCAATTCTAAACATTTGAGAATTTTCATCTTTTTTGCTTTATACTTCATTACTTGATAAGAAAAGGAAATCCCCCAAGTTATTGTTTGTGTGTGTATAGGATAGTAACTCTAGCAGTGCATATATCTGAAGTACACATATTATTTAATTGTATGTATACTCATCAATGGGGAAGAAGTATGTATATTTCTGTATAAATATGTATATACATTTTTATTTAGTAAAATAGCCACAAAAATCCCAAGAGAAAATCACTTCATCCCTCAACCTCACCCACAGCCCATTAAAACTTGCAAGTATTTTTCATTTCTTCATCAAAATCCAGTAAAACAAGCCAAGAACACCAGAATGAAGAGGAATATGGCAGTCCTTTCTCTGGGCTTAAGGGTATGAGATAATGAACCTAGTTCCTGGGATAAGCATATTTATTGGGCTTGTTATGTATCAAATGTAACAAAAGTCGAGGATCTGAAGAACGCCCTGTGTGGTTCTTTTCACACCCTTTGATCACACAATTCCTCTTTAATTCAAATGCAGTAGAGCTTAAGTGGCTTCATTGATGTGTTAAGTGTGGAATGATTTTTGTATAAAATAAAAAAGGCTCCATTATGTGTCCAGAAAAAGCCTGTGTGTGCTTGTTTATTGAGACAGGAAGTCGGTTTCCCACACAGAGCAAGGGTTCTGTGATGCTGAAGCTTTGTGTCTAAAAAGAAGAGTGAAGGAAACTTAATTTTCTACCTGGCAGAGATCAGCCCGTGGAGGAAGGGTCAGACAATGCCATTGGGCTTCAGCTGAATGAGAGGACTTGATTGATTTTCAGAAAATGTGCCATGGATAGGGCAAGCCCGGAACACTTTTGTTAGGAAGAACACACTTTGTATAATAGAAGCTGGTTTCTGTGCCTTGTTTAAAGTGATGTCTCCCAGTGAGTACCAGCTATCACCTCCCAAGTCAGATGGGGAAAAAGAGAGTCTTTCGCACAAACTCTACAGGTTAATTTGTTGTTGTTTAGTTTTCTCTGAAGTCAACTACCATTTGCTCTTTGCATTTCTTTCTCCTCCCTCCCTTCCTTCCTTCTTTCCTTCCTTCCTTCTTTTCTTTCTTCCTCTTGTTCTCTTTTTCTTCTCTGTTTCTTTTTCCTATTGTCAATATTTTTGAGATTTTTCCAAGGCAAAATTAAATAAATCCATCCATAGTGGATAATAATTCCTATATGCTAGAATAGTTCTTAATCTTGATATAATCCATGGCCTAAGCCCTATTCTGTGTTGGGAACAAGCCAGAATTCGATGCAGTTTCCTACTCCCAAGGCTAGTCCTTCCCCTTTCTACCACATCTGACTTAAACTATAAGGAGTAGCTTCATTCCAGCCGTCCTCGCCGAGGCTGTCACGAGTCTATCACCTTCCGTCCTGGCTGCCGCCATTGCTGTCTTCCTCTCCATCCTCATGCTGGGTCCTCTAGAACCTTCTGCTTCATAGCTGGGAACTGCTTACAATGAACATTTTATACAGTTGTTCCAATAAATGATTTTTTCCTTGGTTTTTCAATACAGGGTTTCTCTGTGTAGCTTTGGAGCCTGTCCTGGAACTTGCTTTGCAGACCAGGCTGGCGTCGAACTCATAGAGGTCCACCTGGCTCTGCCTCCTGAGTGCTGGGATTAAAGGTGTGTGCCACCACTGCCCAGCTATTCAGTAAACGATTTTATAAACATGCAATAGTAAAACATACAATAGTGATATGGCCCTAAATGAGGAATGCAGGGCAAAAAGGATGTGCTTAGGCAGTGTTTCCAAGGTTAACATTTATCTCACTAGTATTTCAGAACAAGTGAATTTTCAGGGTGAAAAGCTTGTAAGAGGGTAGTCATGACAGGTTCAAATCCAGGAAAACAACCCTGGGTCAATGGACATTGCATGTGGGGTGGCAGAACTGCTCCTTGATGAAGGAGTGGGGAAGGGTAATATTGCCAACACAGCACTGTCTCCCTGAGTAACCTCCAGATTCTTCCCCATACAGTTATATTATTCACTGCCCATCTGAACTAATTTTTAAAAATCCTCACCCTCTCTGAGTGTGTCTGTGTGTTTTTGTGTGTGTTTCTCTCTCTCTCTCTCTCTCTCTCTCTCTGTGTGTGTGTGTGTGTGTGTGTGTGTGTGTGTGTGTGTGTATCCACAGAGATTCCTTGAAACTAAAATTATAAAAGTGTTTGTAAGGATGGTTGTGAACTACTGGAAGTAGGTTCTGGAAGCAAACTTGTGTCCTCTGGGAAAGGAACAAACAGTTGCTTAGCTAAGAAAGAAAAAAGAGAGGAAAAGAAGAAAAAGCCCTGTATATAATAATTTCCCCACCAGGAATTTCTAATGCAGAAAGTACTGGGGCAGGAAGAAGAATCTTCTTTAGAAGGTCTCGAGTGAATTAGAACAAGCACTAACTTCTCTTCTTCCTATGCGGACAGATTCCTCATCCCTGTTCCTTTTATTACCCTCTGTGTCCTCACTGTATCCTTGCTATTCAATGCTCCTTCTTCATGCACCTTTCACACTCTTCTCACTCACGCCTTGTGGGACCCCATTTCTCACCCACTCTTCCCCCTGTTTATTCCTGCCTCCTGACGCAGTGAAGGAAAGTCGACCCTCAAGTATGGCACCTTGACACACTTCCAAGCTGGAGAAAACCTGAAGCCACGGCACCAGCAGCCCCCTTCTGGTCCTCTCTCTTAGGGACTTGGGTGGAGGCTGTATTGTTCTGTGCCAGAAGACAAGGACAGGAGGCTAGGAAGACTTACCAAGTAAGTCCCCATCTAATTGCTAAATCACACCCTTCTTGTTCACCCACACTTCTATATTGAGTGTCCCTTCCTCATCAAAGTAAGCACAGGCTTACTCATGTGCTGTTTAGGGTCAATAGCTATAAAAAGTAAAACAAGGTTCCCGGAAGCAGATTTACCGAACCAGTAGAAAATCTCTACCATGAGAAGTGAAAGACAAAAAGAGAGGAACTGAGGAGGACACACGTAGGTGACAAGACACCCCAGGTTGATGGCCTGGGAAACCAATGTTGCTAAAATGACCATGGCAATGCCCAGAGAACCCTGTCACATTCCATGTCATCCCTGTCAACATATCAGTGACGTTCTGTGGAATAACAACAAAATTCTGTTACTAGCCAAAAGATGTTTTGGAAAAAGAATAAGACAAGGAAGCAGTAGACTGCCTGCCTTCGATAATGCTCTTGAACTATAATCATGAGAACAGCCTGGCAAATGGCATTCAAAACAGACAAAGAAAAATGAAGCAAAACAGCTATCTTAAAAGTAAAGCTATAAACACATAGATAACTAATACCGGCAAATGTGTAAAAAAAAAATCAAATGTGTTGCAGAATGAACAGGAGTGATGCTGGGAAATTGGGTATCTACTTGGAAACGAATGAAAGCAGACCTCTATCCGTCACCAGTCACAGAAATCAACTCGAATTGAATTAAAATGTAAGTATTAGAGCTGAAGCTGTGAAAGTCCTAGAGGAACAAAAAAAAAAAAATTGAAGAAATCCCACAGGACACTGAAATGGGCAAGGATCTTTTTTAACTCCCCAAAGCACAGGAAACAAGCAAAACAGACACACAGGACTGCAGCAAAGGAGACAGTCCTCGGGATGAGGAGACAGCCTGGGGCTGGGAGAGAAAGCTCACAAACTGTATGTCTGACAAGAGGTCAATATGTAGAATATACAAGGCACTCTAAAAATTCAAGAGCAAAAATGTCAAATAACCCCAGCTTTTAAATGGGCAATAAACCTGAGAAGACAGTGCTCAAAAGAAAACAGGGAAATGGCCAATTGTTCGATGAAAACTGGCTTTAATGTCACCCATCAACCAGAAAATGCAGATCAAAACCACACTGAGGCACCCTCTTCCTCTTCTAGTCAGAGTGAGTATTATCAGAGACAACAGCTCTAGCTGAGAAGGGGAGATGGGGAGGCTCGCATGCTGTCCTCAGGAATGCAAATTGGTACATTAATGCAAATTAGAAATAGAACTAACTTCCAGGAACCACACTCTTGTTTATAGGTTAAAAAAAAAAGTCAGTGAAATCCCTATGTTGAAGAAACATCCGCACCCATGTTTGGTGCAGCCTTGCTCACACCAGCTGTAAAATGGAGCAGCTTAAGTAACTGGTAACTAAACAACAGATAAAAGACAATGCTTATACACAGTGGAATATGATTCAGCCATAAAAAGAATGAAATCCTCTCATTAGATACAGCATGTATTACGGAAAATGAAACAAGCCAGGTACAGAAAGAAAAGTTTTGTGTGATCTTATGTATGTGGTGAATAGGAAGATTGGCATCAGGGCTGGAGAGGTAGCTCTGTGGTAAGAGCACTTGCTGCTCTTATGGAGGACCCAGGATCTGTTCCCAGCACCCATATGGTGGCCCACAGCAAGGGATAAAATGCCCCTTTCTTGCCTCCACAGGCACCAAGCACACATGTTGTGCACATACATGCATGCAGACGAAACACTTATATCCTTAAAAATAAATACATCTTCTTTTAAGTGTTGACTTAAGAGAAGTTGGAAATGGAATGGCAAGCTATCTGAGGCTCATGTGACTAGAAGGAAGGGAGCTGTTACAAACAATACATATGTCTGTATGTAAGCATTATACGGCATGTCTGCAACGTAGGGGGTTCTATGTTTCTTTCAGTGAAAAAATTAATTGAAATAAAAATTATGCAGTTTCCCTAGGTCTTGGGAGGTTTTCAAAGATCATTAATCAATGAAAATATAAATATTGCATTTAGCTCAATTCTACAGTGCACTTATCAGGACATTCAGATGGACAGAGGTACAAGGAATAAAGACTAGAAGGACTACACTTGGCTGAATGTAGTAAAATTTCTTAGCTGGAAAGGAAACGTTCTCTCTCTTTCCTGTTTTTTCTCTTCTTTTAAAGTTTGCATAAGTTGATCTAAAACAATCAGGCATCTTTGCAATGCAAGGCATACTTTTGTTCCCTCTGGTCTTGGAGCTCTATCTGATTTTAATCAGCACGGGTCTGATATGATTCAAAACAGCTGATGCTAAATTTCCCTTTTAAAATCCCTATCCTAAACTGGAGCTGTTGGGACAGCCCCACCTAGTCTAAGGCCCTTCCGCAAGGCAGTCTTATCAGGTACAAATATTGGGGTTATAAGTTCTCCCCCCCCCAAATGTTTCAATGTCCTGCGGAGTTCTCTGTGATTTAAAAGTCTTGTTAAGCATAATAGAGTTAGTTCTTGATTATCTGCAAAAGGGGAAATGAATAGTGGCACAGATAATCCAAAACAGCAAAACAATCAAAATGCTTCTTACATTTACTCTGGAATGCTTTGTATGGCTTTTGGGGATTCAGGCTTCCCTTCCCAGTGATGGTGTGCTCAGGACAAAGTCAAAATGAGTTTGCATTCTCTAAGCCCACAGCAAATAGTTAAGGGGGGGATGTGGAGCAGCCACATGCTGGGTGGCAGGGAGAAGGCAGCCTGGAATCTGAGGGAGAGCATTCCATGGAGACTGGAGATGTGGAGAATGCCTATAAGAATAATTAAGTGCTGACTGGAATGTAAACCAGTCTTGTAAATGAGCGAGGGGTGTTTTTCTAGCCCACGTTACTTAAAACATCAGGTTATCGTCTTTAGAACTAGTAAACTGGTAGGAAAAAATGATCTTAAAGTTCTTGACTTCTCACAATCCACTGATGCTGGTGCTCTGTGGAGTCGAGACCCATCACTTAGGCCTTGGGGTCAGTCCACGGCCAGCACAGTCTAGTTCCACCCTTCAAACTTTTGCATTTGGAAGTGTGTAGCTTTATCATGTACCAGCTTGTACCATTGTCTATTCTACTGATAGTCATTCCTGTTTTATGCATGAGAAAACTAATTCACAAAAAAACTAAGTTTACAAAGCTGATCGCTAGAGACATTAACTTTGAAGTTAAGATGATTTTTTTCTGGTTTGGGTAACTATATTATGAGTCCAAATTTAAGAAGCTCCATTGTTCTGCTCAGAATGAAACTTTTATTAGAATTTTAATCATTGTTTTGATGTTTATGTGATTCTTTCTTCAATGTTTTTAGGAAGTTAAATCAATTAAATAATTTTATTAGTTCTAAATACATTGCTCAGATAAATGGGTTGATGAACTAGTGAGCTAGATGATGGATATTATTGATATTATATTATGACCCAATACTTAATAATGCTTACATATAATACCTTTCATCTGGGATCTTTAAGTCAAGAACAAGATACAATAGGATAGGATGGGGTGGGATAGGATAGAACAGAACAGACTAGAACAGAGGAGAAAGGGGGAGAGGAAGGAAGAGGAAAAGAGGGGACAAGAACAGAAGTGGGAAAAGGGATAAGAGGAGGAGGAAAGGGGAAAAAGAGAAGACAGGAGAGGAGGAAGAGAGAAGAGGAAAAGCAGGATAAGATAGTTAGATACAAGAAAGGGCAGGGAGAGTCAAATCCCATTGAGATGGGGCAAAATGCAGAAAGGACTTCAAAGGGGATGAACAAATGAACAGATGCAGGTCAGTAGGCAGTTAGAACGTCACATGTACAATGTTCCTACAGTTACCAAGCACACGGTGCTGTTGAAATAGGGCCATAACAATTGGAGATCATCTTATCATGGTCTCTGATATGGGTGGGATTGGATGGTATCTTAATTCCTAGTTGCTGTGGTGAAATGCAACGATAGAAAGTTGAGAAAGAGGAAGAAAAGCCTATATGAAACAGAAGGGGGAAAAGACTAACAGGAATGCCATCTTCTGGCCAGGATACAGCCATTCCAACCATAAACTCAATGCAGCTGTGCTTGCCGACACTGAGCCTGCAAAAGAATGAGCCTGTCAATAGCTAACCAAAGAATGAGCCTGTCAATAGCTAACCGCGGTGGGGAACGAAAGGGAAAAGAATTTCCAGTCTGCGTGCCCCACCTGAACTAGTGGGCACCAATGGATTCTGGGAATTGGGGGATCACTGCCATCGGTTGAGTAACCACTGATGAACCCATTAGGCTTAAATGGTGAGTTCCAAACCTGTGGTCACACAGAAAAGGAAACAAACAAACAAACAAACAAACACCCAAGAAACTGAATATTGGAAAGGGCCTTGTGTAAAAGAGATGGGATCGATAGGGATGGGAGAAAGACAATGGAGGGTAGATGGCAACATTAATCAGAACGCATTGCACACATGCGCAAAGATGCCAAAGAACAGATTTAATTGAAATCTAAATTGCATGAGAGCGAACACTCTGACAAAAGCAAGTTAAAGGAGAAGGGGTTTATCCGGTTCATAATTCCAGGCGACAGCCCGTCAGTGCAGAGGAGTCAAGGTGGCAGGAAGCTGAAGCAGCTGACACACCCCATCTATAACCAGGCAATGGTTATAGATGGATTAATGCATGCACCCGAGTGCCCAGGTTTCTGTCTCTAGTTTGCACAGTTCAGGAATAGTGCCACACACAGTGGGTGGCCCCTTCCTTCCACATCTATTATTACAACGAAGATAACTCTCACAGACATTCCCATAGGTCAACTTTGTCCAGAAAACCCCTGTAGAAAAGATTCCCTTCCTGAGTGGTTCTCGATTGTGTCAAGTTAACAATTAAAACTAAACTCTCACAAACAGGATTCCAGGTGGAGGGAAGACCACAGGTGCAGGGCAGAGAACTTTAGATGTGTTCAGAGAACTGCGAAATGATCTGAAAGTGATTTTGCCCAGGAAAAGTAGATACAAGCAAGAATTAAAATAATTACAGCAGTGAAGTTGTCTACATGGCCGGTTTTTGACATAAAAGACATCATGTTGGAGGAAAATACAATGAGAGGTAAGACAGGAGAAAGGAAAGCCATTAAAACCCACCCATGCTTGCAGCTCAATGATAGAGTACTTGTCTAGCATGTGCAAGGTCCCAGGTTCCACTTCCAGCACTAATGTGGCAAAGAAAAGAACTCTTCATGTTATTACACAGTTTAGGAAACACAAATGCTCACATTGTTATGCATCTCATGACAATGATTTGAGTGCTGAAAGAAAATGAGAAGAATAGACACACAGATTCAGATCACCCATTGGAAATGGATCCTGAAAATCATGTCTACTGACTTGGTGACCTGCTGCTAGTCACCCTGGCTCTGGGACATGTTATCTCCAAGGCTAAGATTTGGAGAAGATTCAGATTCATATGTGGATAGATACTAGGGATACTATAATTCTTATACTAGATACTAGACACAGCTCGAAGCTTATAGACTTAGTTCTATCGAATTACTTCTTGACAATTCCATGGCCATCTGAGTAATATTGAATTCCTTTCACACACAGACCATTTCTGTTTTACTTTGACCACCTCCTTCTCCTCTAACCCATGACCATTTGTCACCATCTCAAACCTGATTTTACCCATACCATATATATATATATATTGCAAAAG